GACCCCTATATCATGTGTAATTGATATTGTAATATTAATAAAAACGAATATGTTCATTTAAAATTAAAGTAATATCTAAATAAGGCCGATGACTGAAGTCAATCGATACACATACGCTTTCCTAGTTAATGTCAATTAACATAATAAAAGTTATTCTTATTATTCAATTTCTTGGGATTAAATTTCTCAAATTAAATAAACTTAATTATTAACATTTCTTTAAAGGTCCCAGAGAGAGTTTCTTATGAATGGCGTTAAAAATGCGTATTATTTTTTACCTTTTCCTTTCATTTTGCTAACTTTCTTAAAATTTTAGAATATGTTCTAATATTATAGGTCATTGTTGCTTAAAATTATTAAGTTTCTATAAGGATTGCTAATTTAACATTTTAAAGATTTGAAAAAATAGGTGTCTGTCCAATGAAGTATAGAAAGAAAATGAAAATATGGAAAAAGTATATTTTCAACTTATTTTTAATCAATGTAGTTTTTTAAATAATGATTTTATACGAACTTAGTTTCCACCTCAATATATTATAATTTACATACCATATTATTTATTATATCATTATAGTTACATCAATATATTGCAAGTAAATAATAATAAATCTAACCCGATGAACTTACACTGCTATTAAGACAATGAAAAATGAAAAAACTACATTATTAGATTAGTTACCAGGTAGTTAGGTGGCTAGCTTTCTATATTTTGAGATAATACTGTTGAATAAAAGTTATCACTGAATTGAATCATTGAAACCAAATCCTGAAAGTCCTGTGCCTAAAGTACTCAAATGATTTTTAATTGGATATAAATATGAGCATATAATAACAAATATGATAACAAATGGTATTTCTCATGAAAATTTTGTATATGTAATCGTTAACTTCTGTTACTTCAATTGTGTTATCAATACTAGTAGATAGGGCTGTCAAATCAAAAAAATTATAAACTGGAACTTTCAATAGTTTAGTTTTCTGGGAGATTTCCAGGAGATGTTTATAAGGCATTATACAAAATTTTTCATAGATTTTTAGCCATATAATATCTTACTATTAAATATATAAATAGAATTTGACATTGTCTTTTAATTTAATATTCGTCCTTTTGATATAAATATATAAAATTATATAAAAATTAAATTATATGCTTAATCAAACCATTAATTAAAGATTAAAACTCAATCTATTTTTTTGGCATATTTAAGTCAATTATAATTAGCTTATTTTAAATTATAACATTTTTAATATAAAAATATTTTTTAACAATATAAATGTAAAAATGTATAAATATTCTTCGCAATTATCTTCACAATATATTCACAAAAGTCTCAATTTATAAATAATTACATTTCAATTAATTACTATTTAAATAAACAAACACATTTAAGAGAAAATAATTTTAAACATTAATTATTCAACAATTATATAATACTTTATTTTAATTTAAATGTTATGTTTTACATATATTTTCACTAAATTAAAATATTAATTTGTGTATAAATTTTTGAATTTTGTGCCAGGATGAAATCAATCTCAAGGTAGATAGTCAACCGGGAGACGGGAGAAATACCCCAATTCCGGGAGACTCCCGGTGAAACCTGGAGGTTTTTGCATCCCTACTAGAAGACAGGGAATAGGCTTACAATTATTACGAGTTAATCCTATTGAACAACAATTAACACTGATTTGAATTGAATTATTGAAACCAAATCCTGAAAGTGCTGTGCCCAATGTACTGAACTTTTGTTATTGTTAACTCATGTTACGTCATTTGTGTTATCAATACCTGACACATACAGTAGTAGGCTTACGATGATTACGAATTAATCATATTGAACAACAATTCACACTAATTATTGTTAATTATTGCAAACAAAAGTTAAAAGTCCTGTTATACAAAGTACTCATATGATTGCGATTTGGAATAAATATGAGCTGTCACATTGGATATTTTTCATAATTTAATATTGAATTAACAATTTGTCCAACACAAATTCAATTTAAAACCTACAACATGAATAAATTATATATAGCGTTAGTTATTGTTATAGTTGCGGTAGCATGCGAAAGTAACGCAAGTGAGTATCACACGCATTAAATATACTTACAGTTTGTTGGTATTATATCAATAATTAATATTTTAATCAGGACTGGTTGAAACCTATTTGTACGGTATTTCAAAACTTTCGGCCAATAAATACGGTATCGATGTTTGCGATGGTTATAAAGCTGGTGATTGGCTTGGAATTGGTTGCATTCACGAAATGGTTTGGGATTCATCAGTCCCCGAGCATGATGATAAAATTGTCTCGGTTAACTTCTACAAGGACAATTTCCTATTCTTGAAATCATTTGGTCCCCAAAAGTGTGAGTTATTAAATAAATATGATATTTCTTTTTGGTATTACATTGTTTAAACATTTAATCACTTACGTACATATTGAACGACCCGCTATTAAATTGCTCTTAATATTTAGTAATTATATTTTTGCTACACTAATTTTGTAAAAATGATTGATATATTGATAGTTAAAAATTGTTATTAAATGATCTTTTTCATTTTAGATGAACGCTTTCCCATAAAAGGCATAGACTCGCAAGAAACTGAGGTGGGTCCTTTAATGGACTATGTGGTCATCACTAATTACATCGTTGGTGCCAATAACGAAACTGCTGGAGGGTATAGCTGCCAAGTAGATTACATTGATTATCACGGTTATCCTGGTAACATCACTGCCGCTACAAAGCAACTTAAATTAAAATAATCTGGGCAAAGTGACAACAATTGACACATTCAATTTTAATAACGAAAATTACATATGTCAAAAAACTTTCATAAAATCTTATCATAAAATAACCTTAAAAGAAAATAAAAAATAATTTAAATTTTATTAGATTTTTAATTGAGAGTTAACACCGTATAACAATAGATTATTGTGACTAATTATTAAAATAATGTATTAAATAATTTTATATAAAATGAAATTTAAAAAATGTATATTGGTTAATATTTTAAATATCATATAATATAATTTAGTAGAACATTATCTTTACATTTAAAAAAAATTTATCATTATGAATGTTTGTATTTATACCTAAATTAAAATAAATGTATTTTTGACAATAGCTTTTTATATTATATCAAGCCCTCTGTTTGCGGTGTATTTGCAACACATTAGCCAAACATTTTGGCTACTATTGCGGTCACAAAACAGTCTCCGATAACATTAGTCGACCCCTAAATACATTTTTATTAAAAATTGATTTTAAAATTGTATCACAAAAATGATTTAATAGGATATATCGTGGTGTGTCAATGTGTGGCGTGATTACAATTGTTGAGAAACCAGAGTACACCATTTTATCTACAATCTGAATAAATTAAATCTAGCCAACTCCATAAACTGGTCTAGTTAATCCAGTTTTAAACATAGGTGGTATAGTCATTTTTGTATATAAATCTATACAATACTATAGAATTATATATTTTCATTGAATTCATATTCATGTATTAATAACAAATTGGTAGCACATTGCTAAATACCTTATGTTTTTCTGCAGTGGAAAGTGTTTTGAATCGTAATTTAAAGATTTTATGTTAAGTTATATACAAAAATGTCTATGCCACCTATGTTTAAAACTGGATTAACAAGACCAGTTTAAGGAGTTGGCCATATTTAAATAATTAATATTGTAGATACCCTGTTTCACGGCGTATAGTGCGCGCACTATCTGAGGAAAAAAGTGATTTTTTGGGAAAAAGTAATGGGGCGCATCTAAATTAAAATACATGTTTTTCTTGAAAATAGCTTTTTATATTAAACCAAACTAAATGCATTTTTATTAAAGATTGTATCACAAAAATGATTTAATATAATGACATTAAGTATACTATTAATTACTTTTAATTAAATTGTATTATATTTAAAAATCAAATGATTTGTAGTACCGGTATTTGTCTGTAGTCTTGTTCTTACTATATTTTAAAGTCTCTGTTCACAAAATCATTCTTGCACAATCTTGTGAAAATCCTTTCATATAATAAACTCAATTATTTTAATCTATACAATACTTTCTAGGTCACAGAGATATCTCATATCTGAGTACATATAAATAAAGGAGCTATATCTAATAATGAACAAGTGGTTAGCAAACTACTAGGAAATATTCATTGTTATTGAATGTGCCAATATAAGTGACACGATTAATAGTACAGTACATTTTAATGATAAATAATACAGTGTAATGATAAAAGCTACATTTTATCTGTATTAAATGAACCTTTCGAAGTAACTGACAGTGATATACTCAATGTTACTCAATGTACTCAATAATAGTAGAGAAAGCGCTGATTAAGAATACAATGATCATGCTCAATTGAGATCATACATATCTTGCAAGCAAAAATGTGCCCATAATGTGCCTATAATGTGCAATAATGTGCCAAAATGAGCTAACATGATTACATATGGGTATAAATATGAGCTGCGCACAAATTGTAATTATCATAATTTGACATTAAAGTAAAAATTTGTCTTAAACAAAAACAAATTAATTTACAAAATGTGTAAATTCACAATGTTTGCTATTGTGGCGCTAGTATTTGTCGTGATTAACCAGATTTGCGCGGAAACTAGTAAGTATATAATTATACAAATTTTGTAATTTCTGAAAATAATTAATATCTTAACCAGGGCAAGCTGAAACGGATGTATATGATTTTTACGGGCGACCTTTAGTGAGCCACAGTTATAATATTGGCGATGTTCTTGGGGTCTCTTGCGTATCCAAATTGGTTCCTAACGAAACGTACCTTGATAAACTTATATCAATTAACTTCTTAAAGGACGGCGAACTATATCACAAATCGGGAGATCTCGGATCGGGAAAGAGTAAGTTATGATAATCATGCTAATTGTGCATGCTACATTCCTGCACATAGCATAGAATGTTATGAAATTGTTTATTAATTTATTTGTTTAAATGGGATACATCGTGGTGTGTCACTCTGTGGCGTGTATATAATTGTTGAGAAACAAAAGTATACAATATCTGCAATTTGAATTATTTAAATCTGGCCAACTCCATAAACTGGTCTAGTTAATCCAGTTTTAAACATAGGTGCCATATTCATTTATGTATTTAATATATAAATTAAAATAATATCTTTAAATTACAATTCAAAAACACTCTCCATTCCAGAAACCATAAGGTATTAAGCAATGTATCACCAATCAGTTATAAATACATGAATATGAATTCCTAGAAAATATATAATTATATAGTAATGTTAATTTACATGCAAAAATTACTATGCCACCTATGTTTAAAATATGATTAACTAAACAAGTTTATGAAGTTGGCCAGATTTAATTAATTCAAATTGTAGATAATATTGTATATTTTGGTTTCTATACAATTATAATCACTTCATAGAGTGACACACCACGATGTATCCTATTAAGTGTTATAATTTCCAAAAGTATTATTGTAATTGATGAATTTCAAATAAAATGATCTTTATTACTTTTAGTTGAAGATTATCCCGTTAAAGGCATACAAGACATAAGTGGGAGGGGATGGAGTTATTTCTCGCAAAATGTGGCCATCAATGAGCACTCCGGGGGCGCCACTAATCAAACAAGAGGGTCGTACACTTGTCAGGTGATTTATACTGATTACCAAGGTCAAACAAGAACTATAACCTCGCCTAAATATGAACTGAAATTGAAGTAAGCGAATATATATGATATGTAAATTAAATTTTATTTCCAACGTAACTATTATTTTAAGTTACATAATTATCAATGATTATATTTAAATTTATATAAATAAATAAAGCATTTTATAAAGTACTTCGTGTTAAAAAAAATTATCATTCTATTTTGATCCTGATGAATCATTGTATAACATAAACAAATTATGCAAATTTTTAATATTTTAATTTTCAATATGAAATCCTTGGTCTCAAATGAAATAGCCTTTACATATACAGAACTGTTATTAACTTTGTAAAATTAAAATCTTTAATTAAAAAAGAACTAATAAATTCAAATAGATATTAATTTTATTTAAAATAAAATTATAACATAATTTTCAATTACAAATATAATGCCACAATAATTTCGACAAAAACTTTATAATTTTTATATTAAACTAAATCCACATTTTGCGGTGTATTTGCGACACAATGTTTGGCTACTATTGCGGCCACAAAGCAATCGCCGATAACATTAGTCACGGTTCGTAGTCGACCCCTATATGCGGATATATATTATTTGCGTGTTAATCAGAAAATTGGTTTCATTGAATTATTTTTAGTAATGCTTTTAATTTATTTATGTTTAATATTTTAAGCTTATTTCTTATGTTACAAAATTGTGTACATACATAATCCAATCTACTGTCATGATATAAGCAAGGGCATCCATAGGGTTGTCAATGCCAATTGACGTACAAAATGCCACAAATGTAACCCATACAGCGCCACCCGACGATATAGCAGGTATGGCAATGGTCATGATCAGGGTCATTATACTATATAGAATAAATTTTAAAAATAACTCCATAACTAGCTAGGTAATACATATAAGACATACGTTAGCATGACCATATGTTGCATACCGATTTCGACGCCATGCATTTGTGCCACAAATAGTATCATCATTGGGTAGTACAGCGCGAACCCATTCATGTGGACATTCATACCCAGGGGTAACACAAAGCGGGTAACACTTTTCGGTAGTTTTACATTGTTTTCCATACACTCGATGGTCACTGGCAGTGTAATTGCACTGATAAATTAAAAATTATTTAGCATTTACGAATTAATTAATATTAACTATTACCTTGAATTGGACCCGAATGCCACGATTATAGCCGGGCTAATTTTCTTGTAAAATGTTAATGGGTTTTTACGAACCACAAATAAATATACCCCGGCGTGTACAACAAATAGCATAATCGCAAAACCAACAAGGGCAGTTGAATAAAACCACATTATTTGTAGAATTAGTCGCTTTGGGAACCTTAGGTGTATGCCACCTAGCACCATCCAGTATACAATTGCAATCGGTATTGCCCTGATATAAAATGTTAAAAGTTATTTAACAATTTAAAATTTTACATTTAATTCATACTTACTTCATTAACACATTGATAATTTGCATAATTATCAAGTTAGTTTCATATAAAAACTGTTTAGTGCCAGGCACTTTATCATCCAGTAGCAATATGGCAATGCCCAATATGATACCAAATAAGCATATACCGATAAAATTAGTCGAGAACATGTGCTGGGTAACTTTCTTAAAACCAAGTGTTTTATTTAGGGGATCAATAGGTTCAAGTGCAGTGTAACGTTGCATAATCATAGCACCCACCACGTTATCAGGGAACATATTTCTAAACAAAAATTAGCTAGTCACATTAATAATTATCACAAAATAAATCAATTTTTACATGATAAAGTCAAGTAGGGTATCCTCTTTGCTAACTGTCCCCTGTGCCACCAAATGAGGGTTATATCGATAGGTGGACTGATTTTTCCAAACCGCCAGTTCCTCAGCAGACTGTACACCTGGTCTGACGATAAACATGAGCGCCGACCCCAACAGTGGCGCCAATGATGAATATATACAAAATAGGGTAAAGGTCCATTTTAGTATTTTCTTGTTTTCGCTAGATTTTGCCGAGCCAATACCTTGATGAATTAATTATCAAGTTATATTTAAGCTTAAATGTTTTGTATAAACCTTATATTAAAATCTAATGTGAGTTTTAGATAATCAGAGTAACGTATGCTTATAATCCTGATAATTATAACATTACACTCTTAATTTAAATCTATGAATATTGTATGAATAATTGATTTCTGCGTAAAATAATTATTTAAGTATAAAAATAGCTAAAACTCATGTAATGTGTATAGATGAAATTAAAAAATAATAATTTTTTGTCACTTACTAGTGGCTAAAGAGGTGATAATCATAGGCACGACAATCAGGCAGAATATACGGCCAACTATTGTGCCCGGAAGGGACAGGTATTTCATAAACATTTCGTCTTTTATTTGCGGGTAATATGTTTTTAATAGGTATCCGAAAACCATAGCTAATACACATAGTGTTGTGTACCCGATTTGGCCCCTATTATTTATTAGCCAGCTCTAATAAAAAAATATGTTTAATAAATATACGTGTAACGTTATTTAAAATTTTTTGATAGTTTTTACATTAAATTTTTGAAACATTATGTTTGATATTTAAATATTATTATTATTATATGTATTTATAATAATTGTAGAGTCAAGTATTCAAATGTTATTTTTAAATGTTTTACAAACTAGTTATAAAAGTTTATTTTATAAAAATATGTTTGAGCACAATTTAATTAACTAGATTAAATTACGTAATACAACATTGAATGTACGCTAAATTTATTTTATGATAACAATTTTACTGCTCAAAAAATATATTACGTATATAAAACATTAATACACTATAATAATTTAACATAATTTGTCAATTTATTTAAATTGAAATAAATATTGATATATCACAAATGTTTGCTACTTTTATGAGCGGATTTATATAAAGTATTTGAAATGCAAGTCAATTTTAAAATATAAATCAAATTAAATCTAACCTTGAATATTCAAAATTATTATACAATCATATTTTGTCAATGAAATATTGTGTACTTATATTGTGTCATATTCTAATAAATACCATTTTACTCATGTTTATACAGTATTAACATAAATCATAATTTTTTTATAGATATTCGCATATTTTTAAAAATATCACCACGGTGAATGATATTATCAGGGAAAATATTTAAAAATTGAAAATAAATATAATATTCTAATATAATATAATAAATACTTACTTCATATCCACGAAATCTATTTATAATAAATAATTTCCAACAATAAAAGCCAACATTTTTTGTTGATATCTTTTCCATTATATTTAATAACTAATTAAAAAATAATTTTATTAGAGAGAGAGAGAGAGAGAGAGAGAGAGCGAGCGAGAGAGAGAGAGAGAGAATAAATACCTTGAATCTAATTCCGAGTAAAACATTTTGTTTAAGTTTAAATATTAATGAATTTAACAAAATATACGTATTATTAGCCTCGTTATATAAACTAGATGAAATTTGTATTAAAATTAATAATACAATTAAATAGATTAATGCACATGTTAATGCAATTATCCTGGGTAATAATGAACCCGTAGAAAATAAAAACAAATGTATACCGAAACTAATTATAACACCAAATGTAAGCCAAATTGATAGCAAATATTTAGACCAATAAATGCCATTATAATCAGTAATTTCAACATAAATTATATTTAAATTTTTAATAATTTTAAACATGCTAATAAATTTTTTTTATATTTATATTTTAAATATGCACAAATTATACAGTTAATTACTTTTAATTTATATCGTAAATAACTAGTAACTATTATGTAGTTAAATGTTTGATAAATACTTATATTTAGCAAGTACACATTCCATATATTAAATAAAATTATATTTGGCAAACTAATTAAAAATATATTATTAAGTGACTGTTTGTAGCAAAATATAAACCCACAAAATAGCCACCAGTTAAGAACACCTATCCTGATAACTATCTTGGTCACTTTTAATCCACGATTAATGAGTTTATATAATTTATAAACCACAACCTTGTCATTAATACCGAGACTTTTAGGCGCAATAAAATCGGAAATCAATTTAAATACTAGTAAATCCCGGGGTTTTATGTCATACCTATAATTGTAGTAATTTATTGATTGCGATAATAAACAAAATACATTAAACATGAGTAAAATTACGTTGGTTATTATACAGCTGCCCATAAAATGGTCAACGTTAGCCAGGTATAAATGATGTTGATCGCTAATATGAATTTTGTGATAATAAATATGTATTAATATACAGTTTTTAATAAGTTGTTGCAATAATACAGTGAATACGAGTAATGGATGATAGAGTGGATGTCTATACGTGTGATTGTATTGTGTGTTAAATAGGGATAAACCTTTTGAATATCAGCACCTCCTACACGCCATTCACGGGGTATTGGTTTACATAAATCAATCATGATTGATAATTTCATTTAAATGAATGTATATTTAATCAACTGTACTAGAAACCTTGGTAAAATTAGTTAATAGTTTGATAATATTTATTTCAAATTGCTATATTAATAGTTTCCAAACAGTAAAATAAATTATTAACATAATAATATTATGGTATGATATTTTTATATTTTAATATATTCTAAAAATAATTTATAGTAAGATTTAATATACTTTAAAATGCGATCCACAAATTAATCAAGGTCCATAATTATTACAAAAAACACAACAAATAAAATCCTATTACTTTATAATAATTAGAAATAAAATAGATTTATAACTATAATACTGTACATAGTAGCATTAGTAATTATAATATTAAAAAATATTTTTAAAACATAAATATTAAATTTGTTTAAAATAACCTTGTGAATAAAATAACTTGAAATGCTATTCACGTTTAAATAAAATAATCATAATTTTTACGTATAATATTATTATTGCATACTATTAAGACCAATAGTATTTTTTATATAAAATATATTGAACTAAAATATAATTTTTTTATTTGTTACAAAAATTATAAAATTTCAAAAAATAAAATGTGTAACCTTGTTTAAAATAAAGTTTTTACATTAAATTTTTGAAGCATTATGTATAATATTTAAATATTTTTATTATTATTCTATGAATATAAATTATAATAATTTTATATTCAAGCATTCAAATGTATTGTTAAATATTTATAAAACTATTTATAAATGTACATATTTGTTTTATATAAAAATGATTTCAAAACAACTTATTCTGTAAACATTAACGCGAATTAGAAAAGTATTTTAATCTTTAACAAATGTTAAATAATTTATAACTAATATCTTTCCAAAACATATTGAAATATATTTTGTAGAAATTTACGTCAATTTTGACATAATTAATTTAATTAACTAGATTAAATTATGTAATATTACATTAAGAATACAAAAATTTAGATTTCTATTTGTATTTTTAACATATCAATAGTCTACCAATTTAAAGCTATATTTCAGATAAAAATTAATATTTTTTTATATGAGACTTGATTATATGAAACAGCGACAAAGATTTATATGAATAATATAAGATTAAGATTTTTGTGGAACGTTGTGTATTGGTTTATTATGAGACACGTTATAAATAAAGCTTAATCGGAAGCATCGTGAAGTGAAAGTAAATTGAGTGGTTATTATTGTCATGATTTGTTAGCCAGTAACATAATTAAAATTTTGAATTGACTAAAATTGGCCAATCAAGTAAATTAGCTTGTTAAATTCACGTTCAACCATCACTGACATCCTCATTTTGTCATTGAAATGGCATAAATACTATGGATTCCACATAAAATGAATATTAACTGCTATGTGCCGTAAAATATAACATAATTCCAGAAATAATTACCAATATATTAACACAAAATACTAGTATAACATTGTATTCAATTAAATTTAATGTTATTTCAATGACAAAATGAGGATGTCACTGATGGTTGAATGTGAATTTAACAAGCTAATTTACTTAATTGGCCAACTTTAGTCATTTAAAAATTTTAATTATGTTATTGGCTAACTAATCATGGCAATAATAACCACTCAATTTACTTTCACTTCACGATGCTTCCGATTTAATCTTATATTACTCATAAAAATCATTGTCGCTGTTTCATATAATTGAGATTCATATAGTAAAACCCATTTTTAAAAATATTTTTTTTATATAAAATAAAAATTTATTTTATTGTCTAATAGTTTTATTGTATTTGAAACAATAAATATTACGTAATAGTTATACTTTAATTTTATTAACTGTAAAATAAGTTTATAAAATAAAATTATTACTTAAATCAACCTATTACACTCAATAATTAATTATACATTAAAATAAACGAACATTAATTTAATAAAAAGTACTATTTTTTAATTTATTCATTTTGAGCATTTGGGATAACATGTACTATATTATCATTAAAGAATTGATGGTATTTATTATTAAACCAAATTAATATGATTTGCATTGTATTTATGAACCAAATGATGAAGTCTTTGCCATTAGTGCCAAACCACAGACCAAACAGTCCTCCAGTATATGACATATAGTCGGTGAACGACAGCAACGGCTCCTCCCGATAGACAAACACCGGTTGACTCCACTCCCAAACCAACGACTTCTCCACAAACCTATTCTCGAGACTCGAGTTATGCCACAAATCGTTACCAATATATGAATCACTCGACACGACCCGAGACTTGTACTCAACGGTCACACAATCTTTCGGACAATATTTCATACATTTTGCAGTAATAGTTAAATTAGTATCGGATTTATCGTTATCCAATTGTTCCGAATCAAAATAAAAACACGAATTGTTCGCTAGATGTTCATAAAAATCTATTCCATGTAAATAGTTATCAATGAACAGCGTCTGACACCCGGGCAAATTAATTTCATCGAGGTTACGATAGTAATAGCGAACACACCGTCGCATGCAATTCCGATGGCAAACGGCACGGAAGGGTCGATCGCCGGCACGCGAGCCGTCATACGAACTACAGTTTCCGTGAGGTTTACGTAACGATTGAAATATGGTTTTCGACAAAATAATTGTCTGATTAAAGCTAATCGATTTTGATTTCGCGTAATCGATGTCACCATATGGATAAATGGTCGAGGCAAAATTAAAATGATTAATCATATCAATATAACCAAATATGGGCCTTAATATACGCGCCAGGTACCTCGATTGACGCTTACCAACATGCTCATTTATAACGTCGCCCAGATAAATTGTGGTGGAAAAATACGCAATATTTTCGCCCGGATCGTCATAATAACTATCCACCAATGACAAATTTCTAGCATTAATTTTGTATTGACCATCTGAATCGATCCAATAAACGTTAAATAAATTGTCGTATAACTGTTTATCAAGTAACATTTGTGGGGTTGTATTGATGTAGCAATAATCATTAGCTTTTATGCTACAGTCTTCAGCGTTAAATAAATCGTGATTATCTGATACCATAAGTGATATAAATGGATAGTTATTATCCGTTTCGTACGACTTCGTGTCGATTCTGATGGCGTATTTGAAACTTAAATAATCCGTTGAAATGTCGTATAACTGATAGATAAGTATTGCTGACAATATCGCTGTATTTATACGCTTTAACTATTAGATTGATAAATGTAAATTAATCAC